CAATTAATATTTAGAAATATTAATCGGACAATTATAATAATTAACGAGAAATAAAATAATAATATAATGTCCCGTTAATTCCAAAAATGCCAACCCGAGGCCCCAAAATGTATAGTGAAGGTCCTGGTAATGACAAAACAGTCCCTAGGGGTATTCTGGACTTTTCCAGCAGCCGCAGAGGCCCTTCACGCGCCCCCACGCGCCTCCCAGAGCTCCCCACACGCGCCGCCAAGCTTTCCCACTCTCCCACGCGCGTCTGGCGTCAGCCACGCGCGCACACGCGCTCCCACGCGCGTTTGGAGAGTCCCACGCGCGCGCACGCGCTGCCACGCGCGTACTAAGGGTGCCTTGCTGACGTGTCACTTCCTGGTTGGTTGGCTGCATCCGGACTCCGTACTCGCGTCACACCGGATCATCTCACCCTATCTTCCCTCCATCCAACGCCCACAGATCCGGGTGTACCGCGGTATCATGGACCGCGATGCACCGGATCAATCAGACTCCACTAATGGCCAGGATGCGCGCGTACACCCTCCTATGGTGCGCCGCGTTGCACCGGATCACTCCGGTCGTCTCCCCCACTGCCGGCGACCGGAAAACTCGCCGGAAGGTCGCCGGAAATTGCAGAAAATGCCCGGAAAAATCTAGAAAATTCTAGAAAAATCCCTAAAGTCTTATTTAATTATTTTTAGCCATTATTAATTTCATAGGACATTAAATAAATATATACCATCCTATATAATTAAAATTCCATTAATTTGAATAAAATAAAATTAATAATTTATTAACCTCTAAACCTTGGCTCTATGCATAAAACTAAACTAAACAATTAATTTATTAATTCAAAGGGGAAAAGTAGATAATAACTTGCCTTTTTGGATTTAAAATAAATCCGCCGGTCTGCGCGTAGTCGGGAAAAATTGCCTACACCGGTCCAAGCTTCTTTCTCTTTCTCCTTTCCTTTCACTCTTATAAAATAGCTCTCTAGAATTTATACTTTGCTTCTAACTCCCTTTTATTTTTTTCTAAGGCAAGCTAGTTAATTTATAGACAAAATATATAATATAAATATTACAAATATCTAATTTATAATAACTTCTCACCCATTTCTCATATTCCTACCTATATGGCTTTAATTCCAACCATAACCATTGATGCAATCCTATCCTAATCTCTAATTTCATCATGACTTTGGTTTAATACTATTATTCTTATTATAAATATTATTATTATTATTACTAATATTATTATTAATAAACTTTTATAATAATTATTATTATTATTATATTATTATTATTATTATTATTATTAAACTAATATAATTATTATTATTACAAAATAATACATTATATCATCATAATACTATATAACACAAATATAATACTTTAATTAACTAATAATGATTAATATAAGCATAACCAACAAATAAAATTATTATTAATAATACATGCATAATTAAATGAATAAATTTACTATTTTAACATACACAATCACTTTACATGCACAATTAAATGAACATAATATAATAATGTAGTATGCACAAATAAATAAAATTAATTAACCTAACACAAAATTAATTTAAATACATTTTAAAATTACGGGGTATTACAACTTTGTCTCCCACTGTCAGCATAATTGGTGTGAAAAAGTTTTTTACTCAAGATAAATAAGATACTATTTTTAAAGGGATAATATCACTTACCTCTTTGGAGATTAAGCCTAATTATCGACACTACTCTTAATGTTTCAAAAATTATAAAAATTTCCCTCAAAGTTAGCCAGGTTGTAACACTTTCTCCTATCACTTATCACTTTCGAGATTAGGCCTAATTACAAGTAATACCTTTAAAGTTTCAAAATTTTCAAAAATCTCCCTCAAAGTTAGCTTGGTTGTAACATTTTTCCCCTTCCGATAATAGTCAATGCTAGTTTTTTTTAATGACATCACTTATTTTTTAGCATGAAATATCACATTTATCCTAAGAAAAATTACAAAGGCATATACATCCTTATTTTTTATTTAAAATTACTTATATACCCTCCTCCTTCACCCCCCACCTCAATCTAGCCTCAGATTTATCCTCCTCAACAAACCCATCAACTGCCGAAGTCTTCTCACCTAACTGGTAAAATGTCTCCTGTTGGTTCTTGTAATGCATGAGTTCCAGTCTTGTCACCAACTAACTCCTAACATTTACCCTTAAAAAAAAATAAAATAAAAAAACCTAGAACGAACATCAACCAAGGAACAATTTTAGAGTAGCTCCGCGGCCCGCCGGTAAATCCAGTCCTCGCTGACAACTCGTAATCGCCGTCAACAATCCTTGCATCGCCATCGCCTGCTCACCGCCCAACAGTTCATCACCGGTGTGTTTCAGTCATCTTTTCATCGCCACGCGAGAACGAGTTGTAACCCAACTATCGCACTGTGCAACCACGGCTAATTTACCCATCCATCTAACGAGTCAACAAACACGAAATCGTTCCTCAACTCTGCTGAGTCGTAACCCGTTCCCAGACTCGTTAGCTCAACTATCTCGCTCAGTTCATTCAGTGTCGAAAGTTCCGACATAAATGACGACGATGTCGATGACGGTGGTGGCGGAGGGTTGACGTGGTCCGTTGATGCCACATTGGACATCACGTGGAGATCACTCGGTGGGCCGGAGAAGCAACTCGGTGAGTTCGGGCCTCGATTTTAGGGGTGGCAAAAGTTCCAAGCCAAATCCGTGACTTCTTTCGGGGCTCACGGATCTCAAATTTCCATTTGCCCCATGTCCACATTCGGACCCCTGTGTATAAACCGTGTTTGCTCTCTCTCCCTTCATGCTTCGTTTCTGATTCGGGCTCTTTTGGATCTAAGTTTTGGTTGGATTTAGATAGCCATGAAGAATGTGAGTTTGGTGGTGGTGGCAAGAACGAGTTGGTACTAGAATCGGTCTTTGGTAGATCACCTATTGCGAATGGTGAGATCTGAACCCAGTTGGTGATGAGTCTGACCTGACTAAATCAGTCATATTAGAAGTTTCAAATTAGTATAAAGGAGATAAGTGTTGAATAAAGAGAAAAGAGAAGATCAGATGAGGGTTTATGAATGATTCAGTTATGTATTATGTGTGTGTGTATATATATATATTGTGAGTTATACAGTTGAAAAGTTTGATATTCTCCATCTGGGGTGGTAGAGTTCTGAAAATTTAATTCCATATAAGGATAAAATCATTTCTCTGAAAAGTTATGCCAAAGGTTCTATGTGTTCAACAGTTCAAGTGGACCTTGCACCTAAATTCTTTCAAATGAATTGATAAACGCTGATTGTGGTGAGAGGGAAGAAAGATGGTGTAGGTATAGAGTTTGGTGGGTAATTTTGTAATTTTGTATTTTTAATTTTATAAAATAAGAGTATTTTAGTCATTTAACAAACATTTCACTAGAATCTAACTCCGGTCACATTAAAGGGAGGTTTTTGTAAATTTTGAAACGTCAGGAATACTGATTATAATTAGGCCTAATGTAACAAGGGTCATTTTGTCCCACATCGGAATCGAATGGGAAAAAGATTGGGTATAAATGGGTGGGTATGCAGCCTTACCTAACAGTTCGAGCTTTTGGGTAAATGGGCAAGCGCCCACCCGTTACAGTTGGTATCAGAACCAAACCCAATTCTTGATCCCGTGCCACGCCAAGAGCCCGGCCCGGAAGGCGTCCGGGTGAGTCCACCCAGGTAGGCAGGGTGGCCCAACTGCAACGAGGGCGTTGCGAGTTTGGGTGGGGGAGAATGTAACAAGGGTCATTTTGTCCCGCATCGGAATCGGATGGGAAAGAGATTGGGTATAAATGAGTGGGTATGCGGCCTTACCTAACAGTTCGAACTTTTGGATAAATGGGCAAGTGCCCACCCGTTACACCTAACCTCAAGAAAGGTAAGTGATATTATCTCATTTTTAAATTATAAATAAACTATTCACAAATTTTAAATTCAAATTTTAATTAAATTTTTTCCAAACTCAAATGACGAGTGATTTCATAAATGATAAAACATTATTTTCTGAATTTTCATGACTTTTTCTAGATTATGTGCATCTGACTTTAATTAAACCCAAAAATTTATTAGAGATTTATATTTCATTTGATGTTTATCATTTATGAAATCACTGTCATTTGAGTTTGGAAAAAAATTAATTAAAATTTCATAAATATAATTGTCTTTAACATTTATTGTTTTTCCTATCTCGCCGATTTCTCTCCTCATTTTCTGGATTTTCACGACTTTTTCTAGATTGTGTGCATCTCTCTTTAATTAATTATGAAATTTTAAAAATAATAACCACTTTTTCTAGATTGTGTGCATCTCTCTTTAATTAATTATGAAATTTTAAAAATAATAACCACTTTTTCTAGATTGTGTGCATCTCTCTTTAATTAATTATAAAAAATTTAAAATAATAACCACTTTTTCTAGATTGTGTGTATCTTTCTTTAATTAATTATGAAATTTTAAAAATAATAACCATTCATTGAACCATCGCGACTCCATATAATGAAATATAAATCTCATCTAATAAATGGAATTGAAAAGTCGTAACAATTCAGAGGATTTCTCAAATAACATTTTATCCCATACATTTATTTCCCATCCTTATCACCGAGATTCCTAATCTGCAGTAAGTCTTTGACCTTTTTCTAATTAATAAATAACCGTTAATCCTTCTCCACCTTATTTTTATACATCCACAAATAATATTATAATAAACCCTTCTGATTAAAATAATGATAATAAATAACCGTTTGTACTTTCATCATTTAATACCCTCAAAATATCTATATTCGATATTTTGAAAAATAAAAAAGAAAGGGTCACGACCCTCCTATTTTAGGGTCATGACCCTCCAATCATTTGGTATTTATACAGTAGCATACATGACCAGAAATGTGTCTCACAAAACCATCACTTTTCCTTAACAAGAATAAGAATACCTAGAGAGAGAGAGAGAGAGAGAATGTGTGGCACAGAGAAGGCTCGTGTGGTGAAAAGCTCCTCGTCATCTGCTGGTCTTGATCACTCGGAAACAAGAGAGAATGGCACAACCCTCTCATCCCATTCTGTCATTAACCTTGACCAGTAAGTCCATCTCTCAATCCATCTTCACCATTTTGATCAGTTGAAAATGGTGGTATTTAAATTAGATAACATAGAAATTACTTACTTGTGTAAAAAAATTGTTCACTCATGTCATACATTTGGTTTCAACATACAAATGTTGCAATCACAGTAAATTGATATATGTGTAATTTGGAAATTACACTTGCTTTATTAGTTTTATATGAAACAAAGATCCTTGCATGGTTAGATTCATGCGGGTCCCTATGGATTTTTTCTATTTAAAGGCGTATACATACGATCGGTCCCAAAACCAAATTTGTTTGTTCTATTTATACGAACTTTAGTCATTTGTGGAGAGATATATAGATGTGTATCATCTCTCATTTATAAAAGGTAAAACATAGTTCTTCTAGGCTTCCAACAATGCAGGTACAAATCAAATTTCATTTTGAACCAATGAAAAAAGAAATAAAATTCTAATTTTTAAGAGTTTTGCTTTCAATGACATTCTTTTTATGGTATACTGCATCAAATTAATTAATTTTACTTTATTTAATTTAACTCCTGGTATGTGATTAATTAATAGTGCTATTGTTATTTTATTATTATTATTTTGTGACAGTGGTGATCCAACCATGTTTGAGGCCTACTGGCAGCGAATGGGTGACAAGTGCACTGTGGTGATCCCCGGCTCTCAGTCATTGAGCTATTTTTCCAATATGAAGAACTTATGCTGGTTTTTGGAGCCAGAATTGGAGGAATCGATCAAGCGAGTGCATCATGTAGTGGGCAATGCAGTGACCAAAGATCATCATGTGGTGGTCGGAACGGGTTCAACCCAACTCTTTCAAGCTGCATTGTATGCACTCTCCCCTTCTGATGCACTGGAACCCATCAGTGTGGTCTGTGCCATTCCTTACTACTCGGTGAGCCTCAATCGCTAATGCTTCATGCATGTAATTGAAGAAGTTGATTTATACATTATCATATATAGTTCCTTGACTTTTTAATTTGGATTTAACAAGAGTCTCTTAAAACAAGGACGTAATGTTTCATGTTGTGTAACAGATCGTGTCTCTAGGTGATATATACTTTGTTAGTTATGCACATTGTAGTGCACTTTACATGTTATAACATGTTATAAGGAACAAGCATGCGTAAGAAAATAAATTTAGAATTCGATCTGTTTGTATAGGAAGAATAAGAAAGGCAACAAACACATGCTGATTCGTGTATCTGTATATACAAACACTATATTGTGGCCGTCTGGACATTAAAAAACACATAGTAACATGGACATGTATGCATTAATAGCCAGACTGAATGTTCAAGCTAGATTGCATATGCCCACGTTTATTAAAATTTGAAAAATCCTGGGCTCGCATTGCAATTACACAAGTATGCAGCACATGTAATTATGATGCTGCACAAATATTATGGCCGAGTGGACATGAAATTATTAATTATGACGTATAGTACATAATCACATGTAATTTTGTCGAATATTAGTTGCTAGTCAAAATGATTACCGCATGTCAGTTTGGACTTTGGATTCATGTACTACATTAATTACACTTTTAAAGAACCGTGAGTCAGAACAATTAAAAGTGTGTCAGCATGCCAATTTAGATACAGAGTTCAATATTCAATAATACATTAATTACTCTTTGAAACACTAACGTCACACAACACAAGTGCATGAAAGTATTTTGAGAAGAGTTTAATTGAATAATTTTCTCTTTCTTTCTAATTTTATAATTATTTATTTGTTTTGGTTTGGTTGTTTACAGTCCTATGCAGCTGTGACGGACTTTTTGCGCTCAGGGCTTTACAAGTGGGGAGGTGATGCACATGCCTTCGATAAGGATGGTGCTTACATTGAGTTGATCACTTCCCCAAACAACCCTGACGGCAATACTAGAGACGCCATTGTCAAGAGAGGAGGCGGCAAGCTTGTCCATGACCTTGCCTACTATTGGCCCCAATTTACTCCCATTACCAAACCAGCTGATCATGATATTATGCTCTTTACTGTCTCCAAATCTACCGGACATGCCGGATCACGCATTGGGTAATTTTCTAATTTTAAATGTTTGCCTACCAAGAAACATTTATACATGATGTGATATAATCTATCTTGTTATTTTGTAAAGATGGGCTCTCGTGAAGGATAAAGATGTGGCAAAAAAGATGACAAAGTTCATAGAGCTCAACACAATTGGTGTGTCAAAGGAATCCCAACTTCGAGCTGCAAAGGTCCTAGGTGTCATTGCAGATAGCTGCCAATCCTGTGACACTCCGGACTCAGATAATGTGTTTGAATATGGTAAACTTATAATGTCTGAGAGATGGAACAAGTTAAGGGACGTGGTGGGACAAAGCGACATGTTCAGTCTGCCTGAGTACGCGAAAGAATACTGTAATTTCATGGGGAAGTTCACTGAATCATATCCCGGTAATATCCCCATTCTTTCCGATTGGGATTTTAATTAGTTTTAAAATATTTAGATAAAATATACGATGGTGCAAAATAACTGGCTTTTTCTTTTCCTTTCTTATAGCCTTTGCATGGATGAAGTGCAATAGGAATATAGAGGACTGTGCAGAGCTACTTCGAGGACAGAAGATTATAACCAGAAGCGGAGAGCGATTTGGGGCTGATTCAAAGCATGTTAGGGTTAGTATGGTAAGCAAGGATGAAGAATTTAACCTCTTTATAGAGAGGTTGCTGGCTATTCAAGAGACCAGTAATGAGTATCATATTTGATGAGTTGATATTGAAATCTGAGAGAGATGATGATGAAATTACCTTTGCCGGTTAGGTTAAGATATTATATTTATAGAAAATGTAGGTTTTCATATGTTGTTCTAGTTTTATCAACAGTTGTTCTAGTTATTATCAACAGTTATGCTAAATCTATAAAATTAAATCTATAAAATGACTTTTAAATTACTGTTAAATTTCTATCGTACGGTGTTTGCACAATGTTACTTCATCATGGAGTATTTAATTAATTTATGTATTTAAGGCCAAAATTAATATGATGAAATAATTCTGTTATAGTATCGGTTCACATTGTATACACTCGATACATCAAACATGCCGAGTGCCGACCAAACAATTTTTTTTTGTCAAAGTTTTTGTTCCTCTTCAATTTGGCTATTTGAATTCCAAAAATGGGCTTGTTGGGCTTATGTACGTCTTCGGATTGGTTTGTGCTTAGCCTTGTTGGGGTAGACTCTTCTCTTTTAGCAAGAGGCTCAAGTGGCCCAAATCCATTTATGGATTACCGCCACATGTCACATATTTTATAGTAGTACAATTTAAATAAAAAATAAATATAAAATAAAATGTTGCAACTAGGGTATTTTCAATCAACTTAGTCACAGATAAAAGCGGAACAAAATGATAGGGAGAGAAACTATTGGTAGTTGCACTTGCACCATTTGGGGACATCTCTCGAAAGAAAAAAAAAAGGCTTGAAACATTTGATGACAGAATGTTTTAATCGATTCATTTATCATTTGATGGCGTAGTTTTAATCGATTCATTTATCTCTGAAATCGCTAATGTAGCCTCTTTGTTGACCAAAATGCTTTTGAATTTAAAGAATCGGTAACTCTTTAGTAAAGAAGATGTTTACTCTATTTGGAATATTTGTAACATTTGTAACGGGTTTGGTTTCGTGATCTCAACTCATATAATATGTAATTATTTTTTTATTCGGATAGAAGTGGGATAATGCCTCTCCAACATTCTTTTTCATTCAAACTCGGAACACTCTCTGTTCAAACCCCGACACCTTTCGGGTGAACACACCCCGGTAGGCTCGAACCCTCCCCCTCCTCTTTAAAGATCAATGGGATGTTAAACCATTGACTAGATGACCTTTAGTAACATCAAAGGTACCTTGTCTATAACATTTATTGCCTAAGATAAAGTTTACAATACCCAGGACATGACTTTGTATTGAATGGGGATACCATGTGTAAAATATTACTGAAGTATTATATACTTTCTCATGGTCTAAATGATACGGAGTATAAGCTCTCACTGAGAAATTATTAGATAATTCGAGAACATTTGCCATGGGCCAATCACACGCAATCAAATGTGTCAACTTTATTTAATTTTTTTGATTGCGTGACCCGTTTGTAATTAGTTGGGATCGTTCCAAATAATCTAATAATTATTTCTTTCCTCTTTGTTTGGAGGTTGAGTGCTGGAGCTCCAGTGGGACAAAAATATAGTGGGTAAATAAATAAATAAATAAAATAAAATGTGTATTGCCGAGTTCTTACCTTACTTATTTACTTTCTCCATCCCAAAATAAATGTCCTGTTTGGAGAATCGTGACTCACATGTGAATCACGATAACATTATCAACAGCCAACTATATTTCATCTTTAAAGTTTACACATATGGGTATTTCATCTTTAAAGTTTACAATACCCAAGACATAACATGTGTAAAATATTTTTGGAGTATTATATACTTTCTCATTGTCTAAATGATATAAGTAGAGATGGCAAGGGAGCGGGGTGGAGTGGGGATTCCATTCCCCATCCCCATCCCCGATATATTTTTCATTCCCCATCCTCGCTTAAAATTTTGTCAGAATTTTCATACCCGGCCCCGCCCCCGACACCATATCCCCGTCCCCGCCCCGGCCTCGGCCTCATAATTTTTTTTATTAAAGAAAAACGCATTTTTTCTTATTTTCACGTATATAATAATTATAATTTATTTATATTAATAACTTCACACTTAATCGGGGCGGGACGAGTTTATCCAATCCCCGGCCCCGACAGGGATTCAAAATTTGCCCCGATTCGCATCCCCGTTTAGCTAAAAGGATCCCAGTAGGAATGGAAAATTTGTCATCGCTGGATATAAGCTCTCACTGAGAAATTGAATAATGCTAATTTTGACGACTACCATTCACCCCCAAAAAAACCGATAGTGCGTGTCAATACTAGATTGGTCCAACTGGCGTACAGGTACCCTTCCCCTTCTTCGTCTCAGCTTTACTCTCTTATCTATCTCTTTCAATCGACGATGGTCTTCACCGGTGCGATTCACCAGATTCACCGTCCGGCCAGACTCTCCTCGATCACTGGATTCACCAACGTCAATAGCGATTTCGACGGGCAGTAATTCGCGTTCATGTCCGACGCGTCGGCGATTGTGGTGGATTGGTCTTGGTTGCTGGAGACGTCGGTGAAGACGTTCATCTTGATGTTCTCAAATCTCTCTATCAATAACCAATTTCTCAGTTCTGGCTCGGCATCGTGGGTTTATCTGACTCGGCATCGTGGGTTTCATCATCAGTTCTGGATCGTCACCGGCGACTGCGCAATACCTCTCCGGTCTTACCGGTTCCACCCATCGGCTGTAACCACCATTACTAAGCGACCACCCATCAAGTCACTGAACACCACCGTCGCCACCACCTACCCCATTGGCAAACCACCACCACCATCAATGTTTTGTCTGTATCATGAATGTGACCTTGAAAATCAAATCAGAACCCAAAAGACCCATCAGCAATATTACCAAACCTATCTCTCTCTCTCTCTCTCTCTCTCTCTCTCTATATATATATGCTTGCCTTAATGGATTTTTAGGCCGCCAGAGTTTTATATTTTAGTTTAATTTGGATAGTCATTTGAACACGTGACCAGCCATGTAGGTATGTCGGTGTTTTCAAGTAGGGCAAAATAACATTACTCCCCAAAAATTATTAGATGATTCAAGAACATTTGATATCGGCGGATCACACGCAATAAAATGTGTCAACTTTATTTAATTTTTTGATTGCGTGGCTCGTTTGTAATTAGTTAGGGCCGTCCCAAATATTTTAATAATTATTTGTTTTCTTGAATCACGATTTCCCAAACAAAATATTTTTTATGGGACATAGGTAGTATAAAAGAGTACCCCCATCTTTGAAGAAGAGCGGAAGGATTAGGGCTGAGAGTGGGCGAGTTACCTGCAAAAACAAAAACAAAAAATGGTAATATCCTATAAATTGAAATCAACTATATTTTAAAAAGCATCTTAATGATTTAAATATAGTAATATACTTTAAAATGTAACTATAAATGGAAATCAATGGTGGTCTGCAACATGGTTCGTCACCGGTGACATTGGGTTTGGCCAGTTAAATGAGTAAGGCTATCTGCTTCCAATCTTGCCCCTACCACTCCAGTGTCACCTACCAAGCCCACGTTGATTTCACCTATGATCAATGGCCTCGATTTTATCACCAAACACAAGCAAAAACGGAGGCAAAGACTCACATATCCTCCTTGTCCTCTGCAATTCCATCCTCCAAATTTTCGTGTACAAATTGTTAGGAGGGCAAATTAATTTGAAGGAATTAAAAATCAGTGGGTTTTCTTAAATTATTAAGATTGAGAAATTATTGTTTGGAGGGTTAAAATAGTTCTTATTTCTTAATGCATATGTTATGTTATTATTTTACTTAAATAAAGTTAAAATGATTTAAGACTCTTAACTTTATTTAAGCGTGATTTTCAGTTATTCTTTTATACACTTCAAACTGAATTATTTTATCACCTTTAATAATTTGGTTCTCAATTACATAAATTAGTATTAAATTACTTTTTAATTTTTCGATAAATCAATTCATTAAAAAAATAATAATAATAAAGGAACAGGACAAGAGAAGAGCCTCAGCACAGATAACAGACAGAAAGTCCAGAAACCCAAGAGCACCAGGCCCAAGAGACCAATACAATAACAAACAACCCATATTTTGTCTTTGGACAGTCAAACCATTTTAAGAACATGACTAGCTACTTTTATGAATCCTTACATAATTTTTTCGTCATCATTATTCTTGTTTTAAATCTGTTTGATCCTACAAGAGGTCGGCCGTTCAGATTCTTCGTCAACCCATCAAATATGATACCCATTACTAATCTCCTGAATAGCCTGCAACCTCTCTATAAAGAGGTCAAATTCTTCATCGTTGCTCACCATACTAACCCTAACATGCTTTGAATCAACCCCAAATCGCACCCCGCTTCTTGTTAGAATCTTGTGTCCTCGGAGAAACTCTGCACAGTCCTCTACAAGCCTATTGCACTTCATCCATGCAAAGGCTGCAAGAAGAAACAGAAAACCAAGATATTAACTAGTTATATTTGCACCATATATAAAACTTTAGATCAAAGTCATAATCTATAAGCATCATTACCGGGATTCGATGTTGTGAACTTCCCCATGAAATTACAGTATTCTTTTGGGTACACAGGCAGACTGAACAGGTCACTTTGTCCCACCACATCTCTTAACTTCTTCCATCTCTCAGACATTATAAGTTTACCATATTTAAACACATCATCTGAGTCAAGAGAGTCACAGTATTGGCAACCATCTGCAATAACACCGAGAACCTTTGCAGCTCGAAGTTGGGATTCTTTGGACACACCAATTGTGTTGAGCTCTATGAACTTTGACATCTTTTTTGCCACATCTTCATCCTTAACAAGAGCCCAACTTTTTTTTTTTTTTTCAATTTAAATTGGTATAAGATTAAGTAAACCATAATGTCGGTGTTTGTCACAAAATGTATAAATATTTATTGATGAAAATTTAAAAAATTACCCAATGCGTGATCCTGCATGGCCGGAACATTTGGAGGCGGTAAACAGCATAATATCATGATCAGCTGGTTTGGTAATGGGAGTAAAATTTGGCCAATAGTAAGCAAGGTCATGGATAAGCTTCCCTTCACCTCCTCCTGGCTCGACAATGGCTTCTCTAGTGGTGCCATCCGGGTTGTTCGGGGAAGTGACTAACTCAATGTAGGCACCATCCTTATCGAAGCCATGCGCATCACCTTCCCACTTGTATAGCCCTGACCGCAAGAAGTCCGTCACGTCGGCATATAACTGCATACAACCAAAACAAATACATTGATTTACCCAAAAAAAAATAATAATAAATGCTAAGAAATGGAAGCAGAGAACATAATTGGAGGCCTTGCGTGTGTGTGAAGGGCATTGGTGTTTGTTTCGAAGTGTAATTTGATTGTCGAATCCAAATTAGGTGTGACTATGTACCTGCCATAATAATGGGTTTTCGCAATGTAAGACCAGGATTTTTCAAATTTTAATAAATGCAGGCATATGCAATCGATCTTGACAATGTATCTGGCTACGAATGTATACGATGTCTGTATGTGGCTATGAATGTATACGATGTCTGTATACGATGCCTGTATGTGGCTATGAATGTATACGATGTCTGTATGTGGCTATGTTTTTGTAATGTCCAGAAGGCCACAATACAGTAATGTTTGTATGCATAAACACACGAAAATTGATAAAAATGAATTTATGAGTTGGAGAAGAATTTGGTCTAACAATACCCAGTCACACAGAAAACGAGAGAGTGATAACACTTAGAAAGATTTTGTGTGTGATTTAGACACAAATGGACAAAATTATTAACATAGCGTCACCTAGAGATACATGAAACGCCATGTCCTTGTTTTAAGTGACTTAATGACATAAATGACCATTTATTTTTTAAACTTGTTTTTGTTCAAATCCAAAAGTCAACATGTATAACACAATTAAATGAACTTCCTCAATCTTATGAAGTGTTAGCAATTTAGGCTCACCGAGTAGTAAGGAACGGCACAAACCACACTGGCGGGTTCTGGTGCATCAGAAGGGCTGATTGCGTACAATGCAGCCTGAAAGAGCTGGGTGGAACCCGTCCCAACCACCACATGATAATCTTTTGTCACTGCATTTCCAACCACACGATGCAATCGCTTGATCGATTCCTCTAATTCTGGCTGCAAAAACCAACATAAGTTCTTCATATTGACAAAATAGCTCAGTGACTGACTGCCCGTGATCACCACCGTACACTTGTCACCCATCCGCTGCCAATAAGTCTCATACATGGTTGGATCACCACTGTCACAAAAAAAAATAATAATAAATTAACATTAGCACTTTTAATTAATCACCATACCAGGAGTTAAATTAAATAAAGTAAAATGAATTAATTTGCTGCCGTGTATCATAACAAATAGATTTTTCTTTCTTTTTTCATTGGTTCAAAATGAAATTTGATCCGTTGTCTTCCGGCTTTTATAAATGGGAGATTCTACAGATATCTACAAGTTATGATGCATATTTTTAATGAAGTAATAATTAGGCTTATTTGTTCGCAGTCTCACAAAATTAATTACTACTTTAAGATGTTTTAAAGTGGGTCATACCAAAAACCTATCTGAAGATTATAAATAATTATGTAGGACAATTAGGCATTATTATTCACTTTGAAAATCAATTTTTTTTTTTAATCATACCATCAATGACTTTAGTTTATATAAATAGAACTTATGCTATGTCGGGCTAATTATGAAATTTGTGTCTTGAACAATAGAATTGAAAAAAATTCTTTCAAATTACAAACTAGATATTCTGCAATTGTAATTCCATGCAGCACTAACAAATTTGATTTTGGTACCAACAGTAGAACTAACATTCAAACAGGGTTTCAAGTTTAAACGATAAACATATGTTGGTTATCTAATTGAATTCATACCAAAAAAATGGATAGATATACACTGAGAGATGAACTCACTGGTCAAGGTTAATGACAGAATGAGATGAGAGGGTTGTGCCATTTTCTCTTGGTTCCGATTGAACAAGACCAGGAGATGACGAGGAGCTTTTCACCACACGAGCCTTCTCTGTGCCAAACATTTTCTCTCTCTTCTCTCTCTCTCTCTCTCTCTCTCTAGGTATTTTTGTTAAGGAAAAGCAAACCTCTTGGTTTTCTGTGTCACATTTCTGCACACCTATGCTTCTATATAAATACCAGAAGATGGGAGGATCGTAACTCGGGATTCTTTCTTTTTTATTTGTCTATAATATCTACATGCATATTTTTAGGGTATTAAATGATGAAACAACAACGGGTATTAAATGGGTCAAGCTTTTGTTTGCACTCAACTTTTTTTTCATTTCTTATTATTATTTATATATCCACTCCATTTTAACTTGTACGGGGTTTATTATCTTACTATGTGATGTGGAGGCATAAAAAAGTAGAGCTAGATTATGGTTATATGTTAATTAGAGAAAGTCAGTAAATGTTGGGGATAAAATATTATTTGAGAAATTTTCTAAGACCTTTCAATCTGATTCATTAGAATTTAGATGAGAATCTTCACTTCAATCTGATTCATTAGAATTTAGATGAGAATCTTCACTTCATAGGAGGATGGGGTTGGAATAGCGGTAGATTTGTGACGGTTCATAAGTTCGGTTACTTATTAATTTTTTATATTTATTTTTTAATGAAAGAGAGCTCCATGGTAATTGGAAAAATTCAAGAAAATAAAATGAAGAGAGAAAATCAGTAGTATACAACACTTGATTTTACATGGAAGGTTTTAACATTTAGATAGAGCAAATCTTTCTTTTCGCGTAGAATACCTTGTTTGATGCTATTAATAATTTAATAGATTGCTGTATACTACTGATTTTCTCTCTTCATTTTAAGGATTTTCTTGAATTTTTCCAATTACCATGGAAGGTTTTAACATTTAGATAAAGCAAATCTTTCTTTTCGCGTAGAATACCTTGTTTGATGCTATTAATAATTTAATATATTGCTCTTGCTTGCCTTGGTAATAAATAAATAAAAATACCTACCACTTACCTTATTTACAAAAAATTCGAAATCAGTAGGATAAGAATATTAAGTACAATTAATATTAGAGACAATATTATTTTTTAAAATTATGAATTAATTAAAGAGAGATGTTAATTAGAAGTGGACGACAATACTTATTAATTTTTTATATTTATTTTTAAATTTATCAATTAATGAAAGAGAGCTCCATGGTAATTGGAAAAATTCAAGAAAATCCTTAAAATGAAGAGAGAAAATCAGTAGTATACAACACTTACCTTGTTTGATGCTATTAATAATTTGATATATTGCTCTTGCTTGCCTTGGTAATAAATAAATAAAAATACCTACCACTTACCTTATTTACAAAAAATTCGAAATCAGTAGGATAAGAATATTAAGTACAATTAATGTTAGAGACAATATTATTTTTTAAAATGATGAATTAATTAAAGAGAGATGTTAATTAGAAGTGGACAACACTTCAGTCTTCACTATGATATGCACTGTCCTCACCTCTAATGTGGACCAATAATAAATGAATATGTCATTTTTAATTACCAAATCAAATGTGGTGCGATTATATACTCACCTACAAAATCAAATGGTGGGGTACATACATCATCTCTGGTATAATAATGAAAGAAGATGTGTACATTTATTATTGGTCCACATCAATTGTCAGGATGGAGTAAATCCTCACGTAAAAGTCTTAAAAATTCTGAAAACATGGAAAAGTCAGTAGGCAACGACCACTTACCTTATTTACCAAAATAATAATTAAAAAAAAAAATAGTAGAATAAGAAAGACAATAAATGTTAGAGACATAGCAATTATTTTTTAAATTTATTTAAATGTTAGAGACGGAGTAATTATTTTTAAAATTTTGTCTTTCAAATTTATTTATGAAATCACTTTTGAGTTTTATTTATTTGTTTATGCGTTAAAATCATCAAAAAAATAAAAATAAAACCTAGGTTATTATCCCAAAATAAACCCCTATACTAAAAAAAATAAAAAATATCTAAAAACTTTGTTAGTTTTCAAAAATCTATCAAATTACCGCATTCAGTTTAGTTGCCATAATAAAGAAACACGCATGTGCCAACTTATTAATTTTTATACGACCAAAATGCCTTTGTCACCACTTAATAATCATTATATCCTTTTAAACCCCAAAGGAAGTCCATTGTTGTTGTGATACTCCTCAATTTTTAAATACGGATTGATCATTTTCGCACCTAAAAATCAGATGATATCAAAACAATTAGTAATAAACGAATATAGAATACAAGGGGATAAATAAAAATAAATAAATATATCCTGAAAGGAAGACTAAATAATGATCAATAAATAATAACTCTTCAGCTAATAATCTTCATAGATATCCATTAATAAAATTCTCCATAATACTATTGGGAAACATGCAAGTTTTAAAAAAAATTCGGGAGATTTTGATTCAAAGATCTTTATTCATCATATAGAAACAAGTTTTATGCAAAAATAAAATATGATGTATCATTCAATTAATGGATTGAATACTTACAACAAAATTTGAATAAACCTTAAATCTCTCCTCTAAAGTGAATGTCACTTATTGTAGATCACTTTGCTAGATGCCTTCTCCTTGGATCTCTATCTTCTAGGTAATAGTTTTGCCTTTAGGAATCACACATAAGCCTCCATGATAACCTTGGAAAACTAAACTTGTGGGAGCCTCCATTAAATGAGAAAGCAAACCCTAAAATCTAGAGAGAGAAAAAAATATTCCTTTTTCTTTTCCAAAGTCACTCCTAAAATATACATAAACCCATGTATATATAGGCAACATAAAAATCAGAAAAGGAAACCATAAATCATTCTCCATCTCTAATTCACATATCTCAAATCTAATAAGATTCCAATATCAAGTTGGGCTATGAGTGAGAATCATATTGGGCTTATTATTTTCTTGGCTACAATGAATTAATAATTTATCCAGTCCATGGACCCAATTAAATTAATTCATTAATTAATTTCTACTCCACTAAAAGAAATTAATTGAACTTCAATTAAATAATAAATAACCTCTAAGTCAATGTTGCACTTTGACCCCTCTATGCATAATTAGTTATCGGATAAATAAAACCATTAATCCGACTACTTAATTAATATATTTATTTTGGTACCTTTGATTATTTCTGACTCGATCATAATAAAACATTTGTTTGACAAAAATAATAATTTAAATAAATAAATATATAATAAATCATTTTGTCTAAAAATACACGAAGGCCTTCGAATTTACTTTGTGATCAATCATAATCAATACAAAATAAATACAAGTAGCAATGATGCAAATATTGAAAATATAATCCTCTAACTATTAATTGCATAATTATCTAAAGTGCCGGTCTAAGGATTCCGAAAATTTCGCCGAATAAATCAAAGTAATTACTAATTAATAAAAGAGTCTATATTTCTCTCATACTTAAGAGTCAAATGATATGACAATGATAAGGAGCAATTGCATACGACGGCTTTCGCAATATATCTCAACCTAACGCGGATCCAGTTCAAGTCTTAATTAATTATGAGTCTATCCATAATTACCGATTATAAACAATTTATGATTACTATTTATATTCATGTATTGATCGTCATTACATACATATATAAATATCTCTTGTAATCAAGTGGAAACTATCAATTCCATGATGAATCGAAACATAATACATTAAATTCACCAATTGTATAAAGCATAAATATTTCAGATACGTCAGAAACATATATCACTTTAATCCAAATAGGAATTTGCTTTATCAAAGCATATAAATCCCAACAAATACAACTCAGGAATCCATAAATACAGGACCCCTAAATAAATTCCAAAACTAAAATACTAATAAAGTCTAAACAATAAATAAAATCTAAAGTAATGTCCTACATCGATAATCCAGATGAGTAAAAATGAATGTTCTCTGATCAACACGAATGAAGGGAATTAATTATATGATAAATGATATTTAACATAATCGGATTTAAAGGGATTTATGATATTAATTATGTTACTTATGATGATTAATCATAATGAGATTATAGTTGTGTTTATAATACTAATCATATTAGAGTACTATTAGATATTGTAATAGATGATGTTAATCACATCTTTCTATTCTTAAATAATGATTGCCATATTAATGATTTATACAATGCACAAGGACGAACTTATTTAATTAACTTATAAGTTTTAAATGATAATAATCATTCATATATGAGTTTTGTGCATTATGGAAAACATGTGGGTTGATTAATAAGCAAAAACTCGCTTTTATTATCTGGTTTGATTGATTTTTCTATTGGAGCCATTGTCACGATATGTATATGTTACATTGATTAGTATAGGTGGACTAGCTAATAAGTTAGATCCATTTTATTGTATTCCATTGTCAGGATATAGCTGTGTGATATGTATTGTGTGGGTGAACTGGTTAACAAGTTTAGAGTCACTCTGTGTCATGCCATTGTCATGATATGGCGATGATATTTTATTATGCCATTGCCAGTATATGACTATGATATTTTACATGATCGTCATGCTATTGTCAGAATTTAGCTACGATATTTTATATGTTTGGTGTGTCATTATTCGGATATGGTTATACTATATATTTGTATAAATGTCCTGATACGAGCTTGAGATCTCGAGATTAGTGGTTCGGATTGTGGCATATATTGGCATGAAATCATTTGCAGTGGAAGGATTTGGTTTTTTGGACACAAGAGCTATATATGCACAATTGATTTCAGTAAGTAATTAACCTTCCAATTACAAAAAAATCCTTGACAGCAGCAGTGATATCATGCCTAATAATAGACTAAGCATGCTTAAAGAAGCATGCATTGAACCCATCAGGCCCTGGACTCTTGAAAGGGTGAAAGGATAATATACAGCTTTGGATTTCTAGGTCAGTGGGAATAGAGATAAGATCAATTAAGAGATGTGTGGGCACTATCTTGGAAATGAGGTTGGAAAAGAAGCTCATACCTGGATAGTCCAAGTAGCATTGGCCAAGTAAGGACTGA